ATCCAGCTTCAGAAACTTACTCAGGATCCATATCTTCATGAAGATCTCTAGCTCCCCTATCCAACCACAAATTACAGTAGGTATTTCCTCTGTGCCTATTGTCCCTTATCATGGCTTTATTAAAATGTTTATTACATTTGACAACAAATAGGTTCATATTAGTTTATTCTAAAGGCTCTGATCTCTTTGGGGATACAAATTTTGTGTTGTAGACCGCTCTGCCTAGTTTTAGGAATTATATCTCGATCCCTTGTGGCTAATGGCGAGAGACAACCTTTGGAATGCCATCCACAGGAGACAAAGCCTGTCTCTGGTAGCAAATGTTGCCTCAGTTTCCTCTCCCTGCCCCAAAAACTTGGTCGGAAGTCAATGATGGGTAAGACCCCTCACAGCAGGAGGCAACCTAAGCCAGAATGGATCACCTGGGAGGCCTTCATGAAAGGATTCAGGGGGCTGCAACAAAGAGCAATGGACTCTCGTCCCGGCTTTGACATAGCCCAAGTCCCCATGTTCTCTGGGAGAAACGCTTCTTCGCTCTAATCCCCTTAAGCCTGAATACCTTTTGGGGAGAGGTGCAGCTCCTTGCCTTGCTAGAGTATGTCCTGGGAAAAAATCTGGCATCACAAAGACTTCCTGATAAACCTGTGAAATTTGCTCTGCTAAGAGTGCTTTCATTCATATGATAAGGGTTGGAGAGGAAATGATTACATCTCCCAAAGTTTCTACACCTCTCTTCCTGACAGACACTGACTCAGACTCTGAAGCCCTCAGATTTCTTTGAAGTGTTATCTACTGTTTGATCCTTGCCACCCTGTATTCCTGTGTATTACAACCCAATAAAAGGCTATGGAAGGGGCACTTGGGGCCTTTTTCTCCCCAGAGAAACTGGTCATAGCCCACTTCTCCTTCCCAAACAGATCACAGCATGTCTCTGCCATTATTCATTCTCGTGTCCATGGACTACTGAAGAAGTCGCCCCCACAATTTTGCCTTTTTATTTATTTTTGCATGATTGACAACTAGCAACATCCTGGCAAGCATAGACATTTAATATGGAATATACTGTACCATTGCCTCCTATAACTTTCATGTTCACCTGTCTATAATGTACAGTACTGCATGGAGGACTATTCTTTGCATCTGGCCATCACCTGGAACTCTCTTCTTTCTGATGCTGTAATTCCCATGCCATAAAAAACTCTAATCTGTACTTAATTGCATTGCTCACACTCAAAAGGCCTTGTTTTTGCCTTTTGTCCTACCTGTAGTCATGCAAGTCCTTTTGAGGGTACTGCTTTATTACTCAACTGCTGCCACCTCCTCCTCCCTGGAACAGCCAGCACTTTGTGATTAGTCATTTCCCATAAACACATTCTATTCCCTGTCCCCACCCCAACAATTCCCTTGATCTACTGATCTACAAGAGTCTTAAAAGAAATCCACTTAGGTAAAGAAAACAAGGTGATTTCTACTCTCATATAGGTATTAATGCTGTGGAAAATAAATATTATTCATTTCTATTTTCACATTAATCAAAAATATTTCCTCTTCCAAATATCCAAAAGCTATATCCACTTCCCTCACTGTCAGTTGAAAACTCCATCCTACACCTATCTGGAAAAGTGGTCCATCTTTTTTTCAATTTTTAACCTGAATTTCAAAGTATGTGTTATATTTACTGATCTTGTCCTCCTTTTCTTTATTCTCAGAGAAACTAGTACACTCTGTGTAGTTCTATTTCTTTTGGTTCTAACTCTGATCCTACTGGATTTTGCCTTATCGATGGAATCCCCACCCCTTTCACATGTTGCAGTCATTTCTCACCACTTGCTTCTTTCTTTTAAGCTAAGAATCTCTGTCCTAAAATTAACTTCATATGTTTCTGGTTGTTCCTTTAGTCATAGATGCTATTTCCTAGGTGCCTTTAGTTCTATTTCAAAAATATCTGAAGAGTCTTGTTGCTTTTAATTCACTAGACATTACTTACTTCTTAACCACTTGGGGTGTATTTCAACAGTACAGTGATAATGACTCCATATGTCCAAAAATCTCTTCTCTGTTTCCACCTTATTCCATACCTGTGTAGCATTTTCACTCTTGCCTTGACTTGTTTTTACTAGCTATTTGTTTCCATGCTGCCAATGATCCTCTCCTTTCTTATCCATGATTCTCTGAATTATTTCCTGTTTCCTTTTGTTGGACCGGACTCTGAAAAACAGGCTAGACTTGAACTCTGTTAGACAATTTCTCTTTTGACTTGCCTGGTTTTCCCCTGAAAGAAGTGCATTGATTCCTTTGCCAGAAAATAGGAATTATTTTCTGCAATTGTACATATGAGTCAATTGAGCATCATATTTAATTCACATCACATCTTAGGCACATTCAAACTTAACATGTGAAGATTTAACTGAGTGTCTCCTTTCTAATTTCAGCTGGGTTTACAAATTGGCTTAAAACTTGCATAACTTTTATGATTCATATTCCTGACATCTATGATCTCTCTTACTTTAATGTCAGTCTGCTTTCCATTGCCTAACATGTCTGGCATCATTTCTGTAATTGAGGTCATCAGAATGTCTCTTATAATAACCTCTTTTTTCTAGGTTGCTTGAAATATTGTCATAAAAACATATATTCCAGAAAATGTACAATCCTTTTTCCTTTCAAATCTCTAATATCTTCCCTATTTTCACTGAATTATTTCACAATGCAGGTGTCAAATTCAAAAGCACCCATAATCTGACTGAATCAAAACACTGTAATAGCCCTGGCTGCTGTGGTTCAGTGGATTGAGTGCCAGTCTGTGAATCAAAGGACCCCTGGTTTGATTCCCACTCAGGAGACACGCCTGGGTTGCAGGCCAGGTCCCCAGTAGGGGGTGCATAAGAGGTAACCACACAATGATGTTTCTCTCCCTCTCTTCCTCCCTCCCTCTCTTTCTAAAAATAAAAAAGTAAAAATCTACCAAAAATTCGAAGAAAAATTCTTGTAACAGTAACTTACACATTCTGTATTCTCTGTGTTTTCTAAAATGCAGAATCCAGCAAACATGGTATATCACTGTTCAAGCATCCATATTTCTGTCAGTCAGACTCATTTATTCACATTTAATTATGTCTCAAAATTGTCCTCATTCTTTTAAGTTTAAACTAGAATAATAGCTCCTGAAAAACCAGAATCCTTGCTTACACTTAGCAAAGGTGCCCATTACTCGAATGCAGGGATGACAAATGTGCAAGTTTAAGCCCAAATGCTACATTGATAGATAAATTTTATAACAACATCTCAGGGTGTTAATACATGGGCACTGCATATAATCAAATAGAAACACATGTACTCAGATATGGCTTTAAATGGCATCTTTGCAATTAACAAATTATATGAATTTTGCAAGTTACTTAACTTATTGGTGTCTCAGTTTCTCCCATAATAGAAATTATGGAAAAGAAAGCACTCCTGAAGTTTTTGGTACAAACATACAAGATAAGTCTCTAAAGGGCATAAAGCCTCACATAAGGCTGGAACTAAATAAAAAAGTAAAACTATTCTAGTTATTATGCTTGATTTGAAAAAGTTAACCAATATTTATCAGATAAATACATTTTCATGACATTTTACAAAAGATTTAGAACAGATTTACAAAAGATTTTGCATATATGAGCCACCCAGATTCCTTCACTGAGGTGTTTAATTACATAGAAAGGCCTAATCCTCTTGAGTAAAAGACATTAGTTCTTTAATTTAACTATTTATTGTGCCTACATCAATTGGCCATGAAGCTTTGCAATTTGATTCATACGACTAAGCTACCATCATGGACTTGTTATCTTGTCATTTTTCTCCATGGCATCATAAAAAACTAACAGCTGCTCAGGTTAGTGTGCAGTTGTAACCTTTGTAAGTTCTTGCGCATGTCCAGTGGTCACATAGCATCTCCCACAAGTGAGTTCTTGAGGACCCACCAACTGCTAGAGACCTAATTAAGTCTGAACTTGGGGACTGAGCCAGAGGGTCACTGTCCTCCAATGATTGTCTTCAGTTACTAGAAAATTGCATTTTATGGAGAGAGTTCCTTTGCCAGATGTGAATTGTTCCCTGGTTCAAATACTTTCCAGCATTTCTGAGGACAGATATTGGGCAGAATATCAAAAAAGTATTAACACATATTTTATTTTATGCTTCAATAATAAGTAGTCTGCCTTGGAGACTGGGAAAAAGAACCTGATGCTTTGGTAAATCATAGATAAATCAGAGAAAACGTAAGCATGGTATATGATGTGTAAAGTTATATGGCACAAAAGGAAACAGACATCATTAGGCCTGTGGGGATGAAGACTGTGGAGTGGGAACACATAGAAAATAAATGTAACAGCCTTATAAAAACATCTGAATAAATGCAGCAAATGAATTGCTCAAATAAAATCTGCCTTATTAGAAATAAAGAGATATGATTAAATATAATATTCATAAAATGCTTTCATTTAATAAAGAAAAGGTAAAATAAACTATGATCTTCTATGTGCATACATTTTTCAATCAGCCTGTTCCCAATGAATATGAGGATTCATCAGGGCTGAAACATTAATATTTTGTTCACCGCTTTAAACGCAGACCCCAGACAGCTTTGGGCAATTCAGAGTGCTGAATAAACACTACTCAATTTGATGAAATGAATCAATAAATAAAGCCTTATGTATGTACAATATTTTTCTGTCTTTAAAAAATATACATTATACTCTAAATGAGATTTAAAAAGAGTGAGGTAGGGTAGAGTTGAGAGCTGAAAACTCTGAATGGCTTTCCATTGAAGTATAAAGTTGGTAAGTAAGCCTAAGCAGCCGTGGAAGGTTTTGACTTTAGTTATATAATAAAACATTAGTATTTTTCTTAAATACAGTCACTTTGTTTTTTTTTTAAAGAGAGCTAAGCCTACGTAATTAAGAGAATATATCACATTGGCAGCCACAGCACTTCTTTCCCTCTCACAGACCTTGAGCGCCATGAAAGTCCTCATCCTTGCCTGCCTGGCAGCCCTTGCCCTTGCACGGGAGGTAAGAAAATCTCTAGATAATTGACATGAAGTGAAATGTCTTCCCATGTGTGGAGAACAATACCATCAATTTCATAAGTGTACAAATAAAGCAGAATTTATAAAATCCTTTAAAGAAAATCACGTACGTAGACTCACTATTTTAACCGTGTCCTCTAGGGCCACAAACCTGAGTTAAATTTCACCAGTCCCTGAAATAAAAACAAACCAGCAAATAAGCAACAGACAAAGCAAGAAGAAACAAACATTAAAGAAAGTAATACTGCACAAGATCAAGGGCATGCATGTCCAACCTAGATAAATATATCATGGCCAGTGATGAAACTCCTGCATCTCTTTCCCCGGGGCACTGGGCCAAATCCTACCCGTGTCTGTCCAAACCCACCCCCAGGGTGAAGTATCAGGCAATAATCATAGTTATAAATGCATGTGTAATCATAATAAAAAGTGTTGGATGCATATTGAAATAACTCCCTCTCTGTTACTCATCCAATTTGTTCTTCCTTCAGGTAAAATAAAAACATGCCACTTAGAGTATCCAAGTATAAAAGACATAAAACACAATTACCTTCCAAGGCTCTCAGAAGACATACAACATTTTTATTTCTTACATTTATGAAGGAGATGCCTCTGCATAATGAAGGTGAAAAGTAACTAGGAAAAATGATTTAGTTATGGAAAGTAAGTGGTGTTTTCTTCCCCCCCCACAAGGAAGAATGCAGTGTATCCACTGTGTTAAGGTATTTTTTATTCAGAGAAAAATTTCACCATAAAATAGTAATGTTCTCTGGTGATCCAGTTATTGATTTTACATTTTGTTCTTTATAGACTGTAGAAAGCCTTTCAAACACAGAGATAAGACAATGTTCTTTCTGAGGCAATTCCCAGGTTTAGGACAGCAAAATGCTGTCCCAAATGTAGACTAGCTGTGAACATCTTTTGCACCTGTTATGTTTTATAAAACATTTTAATTATGATGAACAAAGTACTTTTCTTTTTGCTGTTTGTCATTTGTACTGTGTTTCTTAGGGCATTTAAATAATGCACTATCTGATACATAAGTTCTAATGCAAATTTCCATTATATATGTTGAAGGGCAAAATAAATGTCAGCAGAATTCAGTATTCAAGCATTTTCTGTGCTGGCTTGCTAATTGAAATTGTGTCACTGTGTCCCACCCCCTTCCTTACATGTACTGTGCAGTCCTTTTATCTGTCTTGAGCTTTCTCCATGGTGACCTCATTCACTGATCTGACATTTATTGGTCACCTTCTGTGGATCAGACATTGACTAGGAGCCAAGGTTCAAACTGAAAGGAGGCTGCCCATGGGAAAGAATGGCTCTACACTAGGTGGGCAGACATGCAAATGGACGTTTTTGTAATTTCAGTAGTCACTTTAGTGAGTAAGAGGCAGTGCGACTTGGTTTCAGTCTCACATCTGCCTGTGAGAGGCAGGTGGTTATTCACACTTGCACTGCTTTGGGGCTCTGTCAACACCTGCTAAAGGGTACATGGGTAAACTTTACCATAAATATTATCAGATTCTCGGGGAAAGAATTCAGTTCTTACAATTCATTTGAAGTGTAACCATAACAAATAACCTAAGAATGATTCACAGGGTTATTATATCAAGGGTTATTATAACTGGTGATCAATGAGTTACATTCTTATGGAATGAGATGGTACATTAGAGATTATTTGTCATCATGGAGAGAACATAGTGAGGGAGCAAAACAGCACCTATTAAATTCCTCTTATTGTACTATGTTTACTAATTTTCTTTTTCTTTTTAAAAACTTTTAATTTTTAATTAAATTTATTGTGGTGACTCTGGTTGCAAACCAATAATAAATTTTGTGACTGCATTTATCTCTCTTTTATACAACTCTCTTATGTAGAAGAGGGCAACATATAAGTTTTACTAAGAATAATTTCTACTTGAGTTGTTAAGGATGTTATCAAGCAAGGTGTCCACATTAGCCTATTAAATGCCTTATTTTCTGGTTTATATGGACAAATAACAATTCTGTGAAAATATAACCTAACTTGATTTTTATTTCTCTGAAGGAATCCATTGTACACGTTAACAAGGTAAACCTATTTATTTATTTATTTATTATTTATTGTAAATTTATTGAGGTGATATTGGTTAATAAGGTCATATATGTTTCAAGTATATACTTTTATGTCACGTGACCTGTACAATGCATTGTGTGCCCACCACCCAAATTCAAATTCTCTTCCACCACCATATACGTGGCCCCCTTCACTTTCTACTATCCCACCAGCCCCCTGCCCTCTGGGAACCACCATACTGATGTGGTCTGTAAGTTTCAGTTTGGTATCCCACATTACGGGTTAAATCCTGGTATTTCAATGTACCTATTTTCATAATTTCCTACATTCAGTTTTTACAGATCATACCATATCTTTTCATGTGGTTTGTTTTCTAGCAGAAACCCGAGAAGTTTGAAAATGACAAAGAGCAGCCACACAAATAATTAGTTCCTAACATTTCTAAAATTTTTGTAAAATATGATAAAACATTTTCCTTTTCTAAAACCTCAAAAGTTGTTCATGGTTAGTCTAAAGAATTGTAACAAAAGAAATATTAGTGAAAGAAATGACAATATATTTTGAGACAAATGCATTTAGTCTCTCTTTGCAGAAAATAGACTAAATACTTAAGAATAATGATTAATTTGCTAACTTTGCTAGCATAAACACACATGAGTACATATATTTCCAGGATGGGAACTAGATTCCCCTGATTCTCAAAATAGACAGGCTAATGAAAGAAAGAAGAAAGCAACATGGCACAAATCTTCATTTCATCATTGATTAGCTCTGTATATATAAACTTGGCCCAAAGTTTCTCTGTACTTCAATTGCTTCACCTGAAACCTGAAAATATTCATAATCCCTTAGGGTTGATGAGCCGACACAATAAATATTCAATGGTTTACATTAAAATCGTGCGTGTTTTATAGCAACATTTATGAATACATGCAGTTAAAAGACTTTCCATTACGCAGGCGAGAGCAGTGAGTGAGATACAGGACAATTTAGTACACAATTGTGTGCCAGCATCACACAGGATTTTAGTAGCAGAGCCTGTTTAAAATGAAAGATCTTCTCAGACAACATCAAGTTCTTCATTTAAGTAAATTATACATGTGCTAACGTATTTCTCCTATTGTAATATTTTAGTGTGCTGTTCTATCAGTGGAGTGGGTTTGTTTAGAACTTACAACAAGTATTTTTCTTAATCAGAATAAATGTAACAATTGATGCTTCTTAAACACTTATGCTAACTACCATCTACCAAAGGAAGTATTGCTGGAAGTTAACTGGTGTAGACTAAATCCTTCAATTAAACCACAAATTCAGATTTACTTTTCATTAAAACACACAAAAGCCAACTTGAAGTCATTTCTCCAACTATTTTTAAAATAAATCTTCCTTAAGAAAACAATTTGGTAAATTATCATCACGTCATGTTGATATTTCAATGCCCTCTCCATACCAAACTGTACAGCTAGCCAAGAGTTGCCTAGCTACTGAAGGCAACTTGGAAAAGTTGGGGAAACAAGCCTGAAATCCCCAAACATTGATTTCAGTTTGATCTGTGTTCACCTATGAAAGAAGTAGGTTAATGAGAAATCCCTCATTGAGAATTTAACTCATTAGTCTTCATGTGACCCTAAATAACATCTTAGCCAGCATAAATAAAAGACTATCTTACTTTCCTTTTAGTCAATTGTGATTGTTCAAAAGAGAGGAGTTTAATTCATCATGAATGGGAATGGTAGCTGAATCATGGACTCAAAGGTTCTGTCTTCTTCTCCCCAGGATGAACACCAGGAGAAAATCCAGTCCCTTGTCCAGCCACAGCCTTTTGTCTATCCTTTTGGTGAGCCCATCCTTCACACTGTCCTTCCACAAAACATCCTGCCTCTTGCTGAGCCTGCTATGGTGCTGCCTGTCCTTCAGCCCCAAGTGATTCAAGGCCCCAATACTAAGGCAACCATCTTTCCTAAGTGCCATGTGATGCCGTTTTCTAAATCTCTAGGAGTTCCCATTTTTCTATGCCAAATCCCAAATCTCACTGGTCTCAAATACCCACAGCTTCCTCTGCCTCTGCTTCAGCCCTTGATGCACCAGGTCCCTCAGCCTCTTATTCACACTCCCATGCTTCCTACTCAGCCCCTGTTTTCCCTTCCTCAGCCCAAAGCTCTGCCTCTTTCCCAGCAGGTGATCACCTACCCCCAGAGAGATATGCCCATCCAAGCCCTTCTGCTTTACCAAGAGCCTCTGCTTGACTCTACCTGGGGGTCCTTCCCTGTGACTCAACCTATTGCCACAGTTTACAGCTTGCAACAAGTAAGCCCTAATTTACCAACTCTGCTGTCTTATCCATGGTGTTTGCATGATATTAGAAGGAATGAGAAATACAGAATAAATGAATGAGTGAATAATGCATGGAGCCAAATGCACAAAAATTAAATCGGGGATTCTCAACACTAGTCATATAATAAAATAACTGAGAAAATTTTCCCACAAATCCCAATGTCTATTACTACTCACAGAGATTTAGATATAATTTTTCCTGTTTTCTATATAGAAGATACTGAGCGTTGGAAAGAAGTAATTTCAGAGATTCTGACTCAATGGATCTGTTGAGAATATAGATAAAGAAGTACTAAAGGCAGATTTAAATTAGTTAATTTGGATGTGAAATAAAGTTTTATTATTTGTACAGTTTTGAATTTTTTCCACATATATTCTTGATGTGCTTTAATCCGCATCTTTTTTTTTTGGGGGTTATATGCCCATGGGAAGGCAAATGATTGAGATACTTATTTCATTACTCACAGCATTTTTATAAATTTTTATTTTTTATTTGTTTTTTTTAGAGCGAGGCTAAGAGAGGGGAAAAGAGAGGGACAAAAACATAGATGTGAAAAACATCAATAGATTGCCTGTAATACACACCCCTACTGGAGACCAAACCCCCAACTGAGGACTATGCCCTGACTGGGTATTGAACCAGCAAACTTTTGTTTCGTGGGATGGCCTTCAGTCAGCTGAGCCACAATGGTCATGGCTCACAGAATTTTTAGAAGAAGTGTATTTGTCAAAACATTAATTGTTTTATTTATTCACTTATTACTTATCTATTTATTTTTTAAGGATTAAGAGGATTTCAAAGTTGTTTGTCCCTCAGTTTTGGTAAGCTTTGGGAATTTGAAGATTACACTAATTATGTTTCTAATTAATACATTTTTACATTTCTTTGACCTGAAATAAGCCCAAGGAGTGAGGAATTCCAGTACTAAAAAAGTTCAATAAATATGTACTTATTTATTAATTATCAATGTGTCAGGGGGCATCTGATTAGTTGACTATTACATACTCACCTGAAATTATGTACTTGTATTTAAATAATTTTAATTCTAATAGTGTTGTTGACACATTTGTGGTTTGCTTTTAAGTGCCTATGTCCTTAAGCTTGATTATCATCATTTTTAGGGCAAAAATACTGAAGGCACTTTCTTCTACTTTTGTGTCAATATGTTTGAGCTTTAAAAAAAATCAAATTGTATTCTCATTTCTACCTTAAGTCCCATAAAATGTTATTGTTTTCATTTCATTTAAAATGTACATGTTGTCTTTCAATTTATGGGTCAAAATAAAATCAATTCCTCACACTGTGAGAATTAAAAGGGGTAGAGAATATAGCTTTTGGATTCTTAAGATAGAAACTTTTTAGTGTTTATGTTAGACTAGATATTTCATTAAAACGATTCCAAGTGAGTGGTTATTTGGTCTTTGGAGAATTTTACAAGCAAGGTGGGGCACAAGTCGGTACTAATAAAATGTTACCGGGTTAGTTGTCTAAAGGGTTAGTCTAAAAGGTTAGTTAAACTAAAATGTCTAAAGGGTTAGTTAAACTAAAATTACAAATGTAAAGGGATGTATGGTTACATAATTAAACAACTAATTTTATAGTTTTCTCTATCCTTTAGAATGGACTGTGACTGTAAATGTGACATCTTTTCAATGTTTATATCAACTCATCAAAAAATTAACAATTTTTAATGATTCTACACAGATAGAATAAAAATGTATTTCTTTATTCAATTTATTGTATTATATAGCATTTATCTTAATTTGTATTCAACTTATAACCTCTGTTTTTTAAATTTTAATTCAAAAAGTACCACAGAATGTCACTTTGAGTTGGAAGTTCCATTACCATATGAAAAGTATGTCTAAAAATAGTTTCTGGAATTGTGCTTGTTTTCAATATTTCCTAGCCAGGCATTTCAATAAATTAATCCTTTGTGCATATTTATATTTCCTTATGCTTACTACAATTTCTCAAACCTAATTGGGCTCTTTAATGTTACTTTTAGATTATTACTGTTGTTAAAAGTAGCTGTGGAAAAACACAGACAACAGTGCAGTGACAGATGGATAGACGGGCATGGTTGGAGGTGGAAGAAGATATAGGGGGGATAAATGGTGAGGGAAAAATATAAATAAAAAAATACATAAAATATTCATGGGAGAATTGAAATAAAGTGGGATGCTTTGAAGTGAATATTAAAATATACCAAGGAGCGGAGAGAAAAGATTGTCATATGCTGTTTTTGCTCAAGAAAGTCTTGGTTTACACTTACTTTTCCAGTTAAACCATTAGACCTTTGAAAGTACCCAGCATCAGATGTCAGGTTTAATGCTCACCCTGCATAAAAAAAAATGTTTCAATTGTGAAATATGAGTCAACGTCCTGTATCATAACAGCTAAGATGTGCTTTAAAAGTTACTTGATTTTTGGAGCTTCGATGTGCACATCGTTATGACAGCCAACTCACAGGGTTTTATTGAAGTTTTAATGTGATTCAGGCACTGCACAGAGCATGGTAAGTGTGCCGCTGCTCCATATTACTGACAACTTCCATCAGAGCAGCAGGAGCCAGTACTACAGTCAGAATGAACTGGAATCCCTGCTTTAAGCCAGTAATGCCCCCAAACCAAAGGCTAACAGGAAGCAATGCATTTAAATTAATCCACTTGAGTTTACATAATGGTTCATCTCTAGCAATTATTCCGTCTTTCCTGCACCTTCAATGTTTTCCTCACATCAGGATCAGGTACAACCAAACTTATGCTACCATATCTTCCATCTGTAAAGAAAAAAATTGTCTTAATGGTAGATTCCAAATCCCTTCCTGTTCTTAATGTTAATCTGTGGTAATGATCATGGAAGTATTCTTATATTCTCTTCAATTATCTCATATGTTATTCTCTCATCAACCTGCCTCTATGAAGCTTTTGTTTCTTGAATAAATAAAGCACTTTTTCAAGGTCAACAACAACTTTCACCTTGCTATAATGTGTTCATGTTACCCTTCCTCTCAGTGCTATTTCAGAGAGTTGATCAACCTTACAGTTTGAAACATATGTCTCTTCATTGGAAACCCTAAACCTGTTGTGCCCTCAGTTTCTCTCTTAACTCACTAGAGATTTTTTTCCAGTCTCCTTCGATATTTCCTTTTCCAAGACTTTCAGAGTTGTAGTACCTTTGGAATCAGCCTTCCTCTGTGCTGGTGTTTTTTTCTTAATGGCTTTAGGTCCATCCATAGTCTATGAGCATCTCAATGTATACCTTCAAACTTATTTCTGTCCTCTTCTCCAAACTCATAGGGTCCATTTTTCTTCTTACCCTTCACACCTGCGTACCTATTTAATATCTCAAACCTCGCCTGTCCAAGCATAACTCTGTATCTGGATCCAGTCTCTAACTTCCTTAAATTTAATTGAGCATACTTCAGTGAGAAAGGCAACTGATAAAATAATATGTAGGCAATAGACCTGAACAGGAATTTCACTAAAGGAGGATATCTTAATGGCCAATAATCATGTGAAAAGTTACTCAACAACATTAGTCCTCATAATAATACAATTGAAAGCTGATATATAATATCATGAAACAACCATCAGAATGACTAAAATTAAAGCAGTATGCCATACCAAGTGTTTGCAAAAACAAGCAAAAGGAATGCTAAACAATGCAAACTGGCACAAGCACCTTGGAGACCAGTGTCCATCTCTGTCAAAGATAAACATTTGCATATGTCATGACTCTGGGTTTCACTCAAGTATGTAGCAAAGGGAAATATGTATGCACTATACAGATGTGCCCAATGTTATTAGTGGTATTATTCTGCAGACTATAAACTAAACCAACACCAATGTGAATCAACAACATTTTGTATGAATAAATTGTGATATACAGTGGAATACAATATTATATTATGGTTGACGTGGATGAGTGACTGACATAAAAAGCACCTTGCATGATTCCATATACATACTCTTGAGTGACAGTAACCAGATACAAAATAGAACAATGCTTAAAACCAAATAAATAGACTCTATTAGGATGTATAAAAATTAATTTCTGGTGAAATAAGTTAGACTAGTAGTTATCTGAGGGGAGGTGGATCTTCATAGGGAACATCAGGGTGTCTTCAGGTACTAGGGATATTATTTTCCATTAACCTGGATGATGGATGCTTTGTAATGATTCATTTTAATATGTCAGTTTTCCTAAGAGCATGCTTGTGGCTTTAAAAATTTAAATGTATCTTAAATTTAAAATCCCCTGTTTTTCTACAGTGTCTAGCCCACTTGCTTTTTCTTTCCTTTGTGAGGGGCCTTGCTAATACAGCATAACCTCTTCCCCTTTGGACTTGAATGCCTTTCAATAATAGGGCATAGGACCTGGATTCCTCAGTAGCTATGGAGGGGCTGGGTAATACTATTGTGAGATGCATAGATTTAGTTTTATTGGAGCGAAGTTTGAAAAATAAGAAGCAGGATATGGGAGAAAACTTGCAGCTTAGTTCCCGCTTCCTTCTCTACTCTGTATCTTATTCAGAGGTACAGTTTCATGCAGCCTGTGTTAGTTATGCAATCATTGTCTTAAGTGTTTGATTGCTGAAAGGATTCACAGGGTTGGAACAGTTTACACTGACAGAACAGCTTTATTATGGACCATGAACCAGACACAACAATATCAGGACAGGGATATACGTTAAAAGAGGTGCTGAGAACTCAGGAGCAAACTTATCTGTCCTTCCACTATTTAGTAGCAAAGGATAAACTATCTCCAGGTCATAAACCACAAATGGAGGGTCGGCAAAGCTCCTACAATAGTCCTTCTGTCATATTTTATCCACATGTGCAGCCCTAATGATTATTGAAAACCACCCCCATTTCAGTCCTCTACTCCTGGATTCGACTGAACCTGGTGCAAACTATATGAATTGATTACTAAATAATTCTGAAAGATTGATAATTTCCTTCCCTAAGCAACTCACAGACATATGCTTGAATAATAGCATTTATCTTTAGTTATTAAGACACCTCAGTGTTGGCAAAGTGCTAGTGACTGGAAA